TCCTGAAATGGCCTCATGTGGAACAAATTGAAAATCCACAGTCCTTCAACAAAGAATTTTTTTTGATTCCTTGATCTTTCAAAAATTGTTTCACTCTTCACTCCCCTAGTAGATGTTGCAAATTTCAGAAACAGAGACCTTTGGACTGAAATGAAAAATCGATCTACTTAAAAACGTAAACTTCAGTACAAAATGCTTATAATAGCATAAGTGGGGCCTGAAGAGACCATGGCCTCACCCTGAAGATCTCTCTTCTGTGCTGTTCAGTCACCATGAGCCTAGAAGGCCTGCCCTCAATGAATAACATCTCTATACCCTTTAAAAATGCTCCGAGTGTTTGGAGTCTCTGAGCATGGGATGCTGGCAGTGCTAGGTCTGGCAGACTGCTGTGTTAAGGGAGCTGTGGCCATTGTTCACCTGTGTCACATTTCACTCCGACTCTTCCACACAAATCCTCTCTCCAATGTCTCCTTTCTCCAATCTAGCTCCGCTGATAAAAGACGCTACAAAGTATTTAACTCTTCTCCTTTGGAAGAAGGAAATGTATTAAATACATGCTCACTCGCTTTCTCATTCTAGCAATATCTGAATCCCAATTACATTCCAAATACTTTGTGACCACTGAAGATGCAGGAGCCCAAAGCTGGGGACTGATGTGTAAATGGGGCTGTAGTTGAGTAACGGAGGGACAAAGCGTGAGTGGCATGGCGGGAGGTGATTAGGGGACATTATTGGGGAGTCAACTGAACTTTGGGATTGGAAGGTCTACCAGAGAGATGTTTGTTTAAACTAAGCCTTGAGGGGTAACCAGGAAACAGGCAGGTTCAATAAAGAAAAAAATGGTAGAAAGGTTTATAAGAAAAAGAAGAGTCTTTCTGGGTAAAGAGATAGGATTGCAGAAGGGCTGTGGTCAGGAGAGATGATACCTGACTGAAGATGGGACTTTTAAAACCATCAGTGTTCAGGGCAAAGAGTCTAATACTCATCTCAAGCTGTGGGATAGTTTCCTCCAAATCTTGAATAACAAAGCAGGACGTAGAGAGCAGAGATCATAAGGACATTGTCTGCACATGAGTCCGCTCACTCATAGGGAAGGACGAACAGTGACTCAGAAGGTTCTATGACCCTGTACCCTAGAGTCTCTGCCTCTGAACCCGAGGTGCTCCCAACCCTCCTCCAGGTCAGCACGTCATCTGAGGAACTATCTTTTCCCGTCTTTCCTCCACAGATCTGAATTTGATACCTTCTGCGGTCCTGTCGTGTCCAGTTCTCACCTGTCAGAGCACTTTTCACTCTGTAATTATTCTCTTTTTAAGATCACAGTTACTTATTTGTGGGTGGGCAGGTATTCCTTGCATGTATGTGTGTGCTCACAAATGTAGAGGTCAGAGGACACTTTGCAAGAGTCAGCTCTCTCCTTCCACTGTGTAGGTTCCAGGGATTGAACCCTGGTCATCAGGCTTGGCAACAGGCACCTATACCCTGAGTCATCTCCTTAGTTCTCTGTGACTATTTCTACATGAGCCTGTTGCTCACATCTGAGTTCCTGAAGGTCAGAGACAAGTGTAAAGGAGAGGGTAAGAAGGACTTTGGTCAGAGAGGAACCTTACGTAAGAACTCAACTCTTCCGAGACTTGCCCTCCTTGCCAGGGAAATGGGATAATGATAGTATGTGTCTCATAGTTGTTTTGAATAGAAAGCAATAATGTGTGTGTGAGGTTCTTAGATTTAAAGCACTCCATAAAATGTCAGTGAATAATTAAATGAATGGGTGAATTAACACATACAAAATGTGGTTGGTTCACAGGATTGTTTGTTCAGAGCTGTCTGCAGCCAATTATGTGATCAGTCCCATCAGCTCACCCCAGGGCATTAACCTTAGGCAGACCCTCCAGAGGTACAGGTTCCTCTTACACATCTATTAAGTCTAGCCTGGAGTCTAGCTCCTCACTCTGCCCATGGAAGTTGAGAATCCAGACTTCCTCCCAGTGCCCTGTACTTCGTGTGGGTGGAGTGTAAGCTTCCAACGGTGCTGTCTTCATTAATCCTTCCATTCAGGAAGCATTTATTGATTGCTGTATTTACTTTATGTGTCGTGGGGACAAAATTCCTGACAAAAGCAACTTAAGGAAGGAAGGGCTTATATTGGCTCATGACAAGAAAGTCCTATCGGCAGGAACTGTGACAGGTGTCAGCAATATCTGTAGATTTGGTGACATGCTGTATGTGTTTGTTCACAAAGATGCTAAAACTGATTACATTTGACACCACTATGGCCACTCAGACCATCTTAACCCTGCTTCAGTTGTAAGTGCTGTGTTTTGTCATAGTCTCCCCCCGCCCCCCACACACACACTAGTAAAGGTCTTTTCAATACCTTGTTCAATTTCAGTCATATTTGTTAAGCACAAAGATGCCAAAAGGAATAATTTTGATCACCATCAAAATAAAACTCTCTAGCAATCACGTAAAGACTAGGGCACTCTCCCAGCCCTGCCTTGCTTGTACGCTGCCAGCCACATGGACAACACCCCCCCCCGCCCCCAGGGAAGGCAAGATTGGACCCCTAACACACAACCATCATCTCAGTTCAGCAACTGACACTCCCTGTGCTGATGCCCAGAGGGTGAGAGACAGACAAAATGATAGCGAAAGGGCCAAGTCAAGCTTAACTGTGCACTCTTGACGGTTCTAAGACTTCGACTGACAGGTTATTGGTTCCTTGGGGTGGCTCTGTGAACCTTCCTTGACTTGTAACCAAATGAAGACCCACTCATCTTTTATTTCAGCAGTCTTTTATTGAAGGCCTGCACACATACATCTAACTAAAACACAATTCCTCTTCTTTGGACACTCTTACTCTAGTGAAAGGGGAGAAGACTGACACATTGACAAATCATAGCAATGTACTCCGAAGGGCAGTTAAAATGTTCGTTATCTGCAGCCCGAAAGGGCTATTTAACTTTTCAGAACTTCATTTTCCTCATCTGGAAAAGGGAAATAACAGTAGAATTTTAGACACACTTTGAAGATTCAGTGGGACTTTATGCATTTGGTACTTGCTCTGGTGTCTAGAACATTGCAAGTCCCCGTTAAACGTTAGCACAGGATTCTTTGTTCTCTGTTTGTATGGTGATTATTACCAGAGACAATGACAGCTTGAACAGAGTGCCGTAGGGACACTGAGACACTATGGTCAATTTGATCCGGCACACTTTCCAAGATGGCAGCACAGTTGGGTGTGAAAGGTTGAGTGAGACTGCGCAGAGCAGAGGAAAGGAATTCTGAGTTTCCAGAGGATCGGAGCCATGATCATACTGGAACCCATCAGAGAATTACTCAGGGCCTCTGTAAGGGGAAGTGGGTGAGACCCCAAAATTACCCTTGGGACTAAGGCTGATGAGGTGTAGCCGCCATTGGAAATGGTTGGAAACTTAGTGCTTCGTAGGAAGCCTGGGGCAGTCTTCTAATTTTTCCGTGTAACTTTGCTTACCAGCAGCCTACTCAAAGACCGGCATGGCCTTTAGCGCTGTGGATTTCTGTCTATGCATCTAGAATAGGAGGTAGTGTAGGGAACTAGAGAACTTCTTGACATTAGTTAACAACTTGAGTTTGTTTGGAACTCCACTAAGTTTAGCATTACTCAAACATCCAGTTAAACTAGAAGACAATTTGGGGGCCAGGGGGGTTAAACAGCTTAGATGAGTTTGCACAGTTGAGAAGTCATTGGAATTGGGGTCATCCACCTACCTTCCCACCTCAAAAGGCAGCTGCATCTTTTCTGTTGACAATTTTCCCACTGCCAATGTAAAATGATTTTCCCTTAGAGAAAATACTGAATCATCCGTTAAAAAAAAAAATACGTCTTCTTCCTCCTGGTTTCACTTCCCCCAAACGCTGCCAGAATGTCTTTTAACCAGTATTTCTGTCTTCGTTATCTTGGCAGTTCTGTGCCTTTGACAGTCCGGCCTTCCACGGCTTTCTGTTTTTATGATCTTTCTGTATCTTTTGTTCTCAAGTCTGAAAAGCTAAGTACTTGCAGTTTAATTAACCTGTCACCTTCCTGCGGGACACAGATCTTTAAAAGATGGTTCTGGCCTTGGTCAGCAAACTTCCTCTTGTCCTGTCTCTGGAAAGAAGCACCTCATCTTAAGGACCTGACTTTTTCCTTTGCTCCTTCAACTACTTCTCTGCTCAGGGTTTATCAGCCATGCCCTGTTTGTGCTGTGCCTGCAAATGTCTGTGATGGGAGTGACTTTTATAAGAAAAAGACACCTGGTGAACAGCCTTGTGACCACTAGCTGCCTGTGTATTTCCAGGACCTCTTCTGAGAGCTTATGGAGTCTGTCTGCAACTCCTTGATAGCCCCTCTTTTGGTTACTTTTCTGTTGTTTTGATCAATGCTCTGGCAAAAACAGTTTAAGGAAGGAAGAGTTTATTTTGGCTCACAGTTCAAGGACGCAGTCCCTCATGATGGAGAAGTCGGGGCAGCAGCCTGAAGCAGCTGGTCATTCACACCTACAGTCAGGAAGCAGTGCTTGGCTGATGCTTGTGCTCAGCTCTTTCTTCTTTGACTACGGTCCGGGAGCCCAACCCAAGGATTGGTGCCACCCACAGTGGGCAGGTCTTCCCACCTCAATTAACCTAGTCAAGATTATTCCCACAGGCCTCCCAAAGGCTTATCTTGTAGGTGACTCTAGAGCTCATCAAGCTGGCAAGGAGAGTAACCATCACAGCCCCATAGATCCTGTTCCACTGATGGGAGGCTGCATGTCATAGTGTGCCTTGCGGAGCTGCTAACATGATCTCACATCTATCCTCTGACGGATGGTGGTTCAGGCTCCGGGTGAGGGAAGTTTGCCAGCTACTTCTGCCCAGCTGCACCTGCAAAGCTTTGTGGGCATGAGAGCCATGCTGGGCGAGTCAGCACATGGAGAATAAATACAATAGAGTTCTTCAGAGGCATCTAGACTACCTACAGGCAAAAGGCACAAATGATCATGCCATCAGCGGGCAGCGTCTGTCATCTATGTCTGGTCTCCAACCTGGTCTGCCATCTTGGCTGCAGGCTGAGAGGGAAGCAATGTGGGCAACCTGCCCCCACAGAGGTGAGTCAGCATCTCCTGTCAATGGCCTCATTAGCTGAGGGTCCTCTCAGGTACAGTCTGTTTCAGCCCACCCTCTGCAGAGAATGCCATCCTAATCTACCTGGTTTTTCAGAACTCCGTGTCTCACTGAGAACATCTCACCTCTACCTACCGAGTTCATTCCTCACAGTCTCTTCACAGCCCTTTGCTATGATGTTACAACTACCTGGGTCTAACTGAATCCAAAGATGCCATCGTCATCAATGTTAAGGTTAGACTTGATGCTAACCACCCTGGTCCATCCACCTATCTGTTCCAAACGTCCTCCTCATCAACACCCTTTCTCAGATGATGAAGCTCTTTCTAATTGGCTGAATGCTTCTTCAAACACTCCTTCCTCTGATCCCTGTGAGACCTTGCCATCCTTGTCATATGTGACCTAGGTACCCAGTCTCATTTCACACCTTAGCAAAGAGGCTCAGGGGTTAGCTAATCTGAGGTCACACAGCAGCACTCCAAACCTTGTTTGTCCTGACTCTTCACTCTAGAACTCTTTCCTTTATAGATATTTGGGGGAACCTCAAAAGGGCAGAGACAAGGATGAACTATATCCAACAGCACTCACATAGCTGACAGGGTCAAGTGATGCTTTTCAAATCAGGTCCCCAGCATCCTCTGTCTCCACTAGGGGAAAGACTAATCCTTCTAGAAGCCCTCTGCTCTCTGCTACCTTAATCCCCAGGATTCCATCTGTCATGTCTCTGATTCATACAGTCCATTTAACTGCAGTGATGCAGGACAGAATGAGCAAAGCAGGAAACTAGGACACCATTTCCTCATCATACCAGACAGCATCCGGCTTTCAGACAGATTCAGGACAGGGACTCAAGGTGGAGATCACTGGGACAGACGGAACACCACAACACCCAGAAGGAATATCTATGTGACTGATAAATTGAAATTTAACAGTGTCTTCAAGGTGTCCTAAGCCATGGACAGAGAAAGTGAATGAGAAATAAGAGCTGTGATTGCCATCAGACAGGGTGCCAGTCCTCGGTACACTGGACAAATGACAGCTGGGGCTGTAGTAGCTCAGTGGGAGAGCATTTGCCTGGAACAAGAAAAGTCCTAGGTGTAATGCACGCCCAGCGGTGCAAAAATCCGAGATCTGTGAAACTCTTGGCCCAGAAAGCAGGCACACAGTAAATGCACGCCACTCTGCCTTCCAGCCACCTCTGGAGCTTTAGTTGCTGGGATCTCATGGTTCTGAGTGCAGTCTACAGATGAGCAGCACCTGAATCCCATGGAGATTCCCAGAGCCCCAATCACCCTGCTCACCAACACCCATCAGAAAAGACTGCTTTGTAACAAGATCCCAAAGTGATTCATGCGCATATTAAAGATTAAGAAGCACTGACCGACCTGCCTAGATCAAGAGAAACTGGCTCTAAGACAGACTGGCTTTGCTATGGAAAAGGAGCTGCTTTAGAAAGAGGACCTAATAGAGGACGCGGGGGGGGGGGGGGGGGGCTGAATGGTGGGGAGCCAGCAGTGCCCTTATCTGGGCACATTCTGGACAGAGGCACCAGCAGAAGGGGCAGCTGTGAGAGCCGAAGAACCGCAGAATATTTAAGGGAGGGACTGGGGGAAACGGGGGGGGGGGGGGGGGGGGGGGGGGGCACGGGAAGGGGGGACCTTAAAGGCACAGTTTGTTTTTTAGCCACTTGCACTTGGTGGTCTTTCTGAATCTGGTGGCCTTTACTGGGGTTTGGCATTGAGGTAAGATCCCAGGAGATTCCTTCAAGGCTGCCCCCCCATACTTTCCTTCTTATCAAGCTGAACACAAAGCTGTCTTACCCCCTTTATCCCCTTTATCTCCTTCACAGACTTGTCCCTCTGACCCTGGCCATGCACCGAACAGATCTGATCAGTGGAAAGCTCTGTGGCATGGCACTTATCAATCAAACAGCTTAAACGACCTAACTAGACAACTCAGAGGAACAATGAAATCCATGTTCCCGAATCCCAAATACAAAGCAAGACTTACAGTCTAGCATCTCAACTGTTATTATTTTCTCATTTATTTATGTTTGAGGGACAGATGTAGATGTCAGAGGACACCTTGCAAGAGTTGGTTCTGTCCCTCCACCATGTGGGATTCAGGGATCAAACTCACATCATCAGGCTTGCCCACTGAGCCTCCTTGCTTGGCTTGAACAAAAGTTCTACTATTTAAAATGAGCTGCCATTACAATAACATCCTTCCAAGATTAGTACCTTCTAAACATGACCTCTGCCTTCAGTTAGCCTGTTTCCAGTAGCTTGTTAATCCCAGCATCTCTTTCTACATCTATGTTATTATTTGCTTTAGCTGCTGTAATGAGTGATTTAAATTTATATATATAGGACTCAAGAAGTTGTGTGACCTTAGCCCAAAGAAAATCTGAGATGCCAGGAGTTAGGTCAGAAGTAGGTGACTGGCTAATTCTTCCCTTAATGTTTTTATTATGTGGCTCTAACTGCTTCACATAAAACTTGTCTGTGATTTTTAGAAATTTATTTATTTATATTTTGTGTATGAATGTTTTACTTACATGTATGTAAGTGCACCCATGTTATGTACTTCCCATGGAGGTCAGAAGAGGGCATCAGATCCCCTGGAACTGGAATTACAGACTGTGGTTAGCTGCCATGTGAGTGCTGGGAACTAAACCTGGGCCCTCTGCAAAAGTAGCCAGTGCTTTTAACTGCTGAGCCATCTCTCCAGCCCCTCGTCCGGGGCTCTGAAGCACATTGAATAGGCATTTCCACCCAGAAGACCTTCCATTAAAGGTCGAATGCCTGCTTCTAGGTAACAGAGGTCAAGTCCTGTAACTGCTGTAGCCAGCACAACTGTGACGGTGAGGACAGCAGTCAAGAATACACAGGCACAACGCAGACTCCGCTAGCCAAGCCCACTACTGTCATTTGCTATTTTATCAACTATATATGAGTAAACCTTACTATACTAAACTGTATCTATTATAAAGTAGACAAAATAAGGGTAATAGTTTATATCAGTAAGGTATTTACCATTTTCCTCTAAATCACCCTTGTAAACGTATAAAGCAACCTTTAAAACAAAACCTTCCACCTTTCTGCCTATTGACACGGCCAAGGAAGCATCACTGAATCCTCTCGTCTCCTCCCGTCACGTCTAAGTCCGAGTCACCTGAGGAGCCGAACAGTTGCGGAAGCTCTTCATCGGAGGGCTGAGCTTTGAAACAACCGATGACAGTCTGAGGAGCCGTTTTGAGCAATGGGGAACACTCACCGACTGCGTGGTCGTGAGAGATCCAAACACCAAGTTCCAGGGGCTTTGGGTTTGTCACTTATGCCACCGTGGAGGAGGTGGATGCAGCTATGAACACAAGGCCACACAAAGTGGACGGAAGAGTTGCGGAACCAAAGAGAGCAGTGTCACGAGAAGATTCTCAAAGACCAGGTGCCCACTTAGCTGTGAAAAAAATCTTTGTTGGTGGAATTAAAGAAGACACTGAAGAACATCACCTACGAGATTATTTTGAACAGTATGGGAAAATTGAAGTGACTGAAATCATGACTGATGGGGGCAGCGGAGAGAAGTGGGGCTTTGCTTTTGTCACCTTTGATGACCATGATTCTGTGGATAAGATTGTCATTAAGAAATACCATACTGTGAATGGTCACAATTGTGAAGTAAAAAGAGCCTTGTCAAAGCAAGAGATGGCTAATGCTTCTTCTAGCCAAAGAGGTCGAAGTGGTTCTGAAAACTTTGGTGGTGGTCGCGGAGGTGGTATTGGTGGCAATGACAATTTTGGTCGTAGTTGCTTTGGTGGCAGCCATGGTGGTGGATATGGGGCCAGTGGGGATGGCTATAACGGATTTAGTAATGATGGTGGTTATGGAGGAGGCGGTCCTGGTTACTCTGGAGGAAGCAGAGGCTATGGAAGTGGTGGACAGGGTTATGGAAACCAGGGCAGTGGCTATGGCCGGAGTGGCAGCTATGACAGCTATAACAACGGAGGGGGGGGAGGCGGGATTTGGGGGGGTAGGGGGGAGCTTTTGGGGGGGGTGGAAGCTATAACGATTTTGGGAGGTACAACAATCAATCTTCAAATTTTGGACCTATGAAGGGTGGAAACTTTGGAGGCAGAAGCTCTGGCCCTTATGGTGGTGGAGGCCAATACTTTGCTAAACCACAAAACCAAGGTGGCTATGGTAGTTCCAGCAGCAGCAGTAGCTATGGCAGTGGCAGAAGATTCTAGTTTACCATCAGGAAGCAAGCTTAGCAGGAGAGGAGAGCCAGAGAAGTGACAGGGAAAGCTACAGGTTACAGCAGGTTTGTGAACTCAGCCAAGCACAGCGGTCGCAGGACCAAGCTGCTGCAAAGAAGACATGTTTGAGACATGCTCATGTGTATGGGCAAAAAACTCCAGGACTATATTTGTGACTAATTGTATAACAGGTTATTTTAGTTTCTGTTCTGTGGAAAGTGTAAAGCATTCCAACAAAGGGTTTAATGTAGACTTTCACCCATGCTGTTGATTGCTAATGACATAGTCTGATCATGACGCTGAATAAATGTGTCTTTTTTTTTAAATGTGCTGTGTAAAGTTGGTCTACTCTGAAGACATCTTGGTATACTTCCCCAACAGTGTGAAGTTAGAATTCCTTCAGGGTGATGCCAGGCTCCATTTGAAATTTATTTATGACTGCTTGGGTGGAGAAGCCGTTGTCTTCATAAACCTTGGCGTAGTTGAACTGACAGTTACTATTGTGACCTTAATGAGTTTCACCATGGAAGGGTCACCCAAGCAACATCACAGAATTATTTGTTTATAAAAAAATGGTTGTTGGCACATCCTATGCAATATCTAAATTGAATCATGGTACCAGATAAAATATTAGATGGGAATGAAGTTTGTGTATCATCCATTATCATGTGTAATCAATAAACGATTTGATTCTCTTGAAAAAAAAAAAAAAACCTTCCACATTCCTTTGTCTTCCGCCCCATTTTCTACTTAACTTTAAAGCGATACTCTGAAACTCCTCTTCCTACACATTTCGCCTCACCCGGTATGTCACACCCATCACAAGCATACTCCTGCTCAAAATTCTCTAACAGCTTTCCTTGTTGTTCAATTTAAAAGCTAAATATCTGACAGCCACCTACAAGGCTCTTCAAGACCTCTCCTTCCCTTGATCCTATCTCTGAGTCCCTACCCTAACCCTCCTCCTCCCCTTCCTCCTCCTCTCCCCTCCTCCCTCCTCCCCTTCCTCCCTTTCCTCCTCCTCTCCCCCTCCCTCCTCCTCTCCCTCCTCCTCCTCTCCCCCTCCCCCCTACTCCCCCCCTCCCCCCCCTCCCCCCCCCCCTCCCCCCCCCCCCCCCCCCCCCCCCCCCCCTCCCCCCCCCCCCCCCCCCCCCCCCCCCCCTCCCCCCCCCCCCCCCCCCCCCCCCCCCCCCCTTCCTCCCCTTCCTCCCCTTCCTCCTCCTCTCCCCTTCCCTCATCCTCATCCTGTCTTCTCCCACCTCTCCCTCTCCTCCGCCTCCTTCCTGTCCTCCTGTCCCTCTCCTCCTCACCTCCTTCTTCCTTCTCCCGCTTCTAGTTGGTCTCATTCTGCCCCTCACGAGTTCTCTATGTTCTCCCCTGAACTGCCCACCCACCTTCCCCTGTTTGCATGCAGGCAGTGTCTGCTTGCCATCTTGTACGCAGCTGTAAAAGTGGTACTACACATTTCATCAAATCAAATGGCCTGTTTGCTCAGACACAGAGACCCAATCTCACTGACACCGGTCTGTTTAAATAAAGTTTTGAGCAAGAGGACTCTAGAACAAACCTAATGATATATTTAAGTTGGTTTTTGTTTTTTGTTTGTGTTTGTTTGTTTCCAACAGGGTCTCCCTGTAGTCCCAGCTGGCCTGTAACTCGCTTTGTAGACGAAGCTGGTCTTGAACTCATAGAGATCCGCCTGCCTCTGCCTCCCAAGTGCTAGGTTTAAAGGCACGCACCATCACGCCCAGCTAATGATGTATTTAAAGACAGTCCCAAATAATGTTTTAGATGCATTTCTTAGAGACAAGCAAAGGCTTAAGACACTGGGAACCACAAATTTGGGCCCAGATGCATACTCATATGAAATTATATTATTTCCTTTAAATTGTAATGAGGAGTAAATAATAATAGTCACCATATTAACTGAGCTTTGTCATATGAAACATTCATGAGCATCAGCTCTTTACATCCTTGAATTCATGGTCCCTGTTTCCCTAACAAGATCAGAGACCACAAGACTGAATTACTCAGGATTAAACCCGGTTGAATTCCACATTCTTGACCACCCTGACAGCGTGCTGCAGATAACGCCACTCATTTTCTTAAAGATTTCTTCTTTGTTTTTATTTATGTGTATGTGTGCCTGTTGGGGTGCGGGGTGGGGGAGGCACATGTATGTATGTACAAGTACCAGCTGAGTTAGAGCATAAAACAATAAGTTGAATTGAGTCAAAATCCCGAGACTGGATGGATCTTAAAGATGCTGTCTGTGACTGTCTCAAACCCTAAACACCCCCCCACACACACACACAGTTCTTCACTGTTTTCCCTCACAGCTTGGAGTTCACTGATGTTAGTGTCAAATGTGCATCTGGGAGGCTGTGGCTGAGAGATGCTCATTTTCTGATTGGGCTGCTGGTGGGGCTGCTCTGATCTCAGGAAGCCCTTGCCATCCTGCAGCCCTTTCAGGTGCATTTGAGTAAAGAGCTTAGTTTCCAACAGTGGGGTGATCCTTCTTTTTGTTTGTTTTTTTTATTACATTTTTTTTGGAAATTTCATGCATCAGTACAATGCATTTAGATTAGATCCACCCTGCTCTTTCCATTTTACCCCCGAGGCCCCACCACCACATCCTCCCCACCTCATCTTTTCTGTGGCTGTTGCTTCTTTCCTTCCTCCCTCTTCTTAGTGCCCCACTGAGTCCAATTTGTGCTCCCCAGATGCACATGGGGGTACAGGTCTTGGGCAGCCTAGCAGAGGCCACACCCCTGAAGAAAACAGCCTCTCCTGCCCTCAGCAGCCATCACCTGCCAAATTCTCCTCAGTCAAGGGTAGGGCCCCATCAGCCCCTCCCCTATGCCTGCAGGCCTGTTGGTTGGTTTGATCCTCAGTGGCTCCTACTCAGTTTAAAGATGCCACAGCTCTGTATTAAAGGGCTGGGTACAGATTCAACAGTTTGCCATTTGATTTCTTGCTTTAGCTTTTACACTATGGATGTATATGTGTTAAAATCTTCTCCATCTGCTTGAAACTGGACATTACTTAATCCTGGCGAATTTGAAGAGGGAACTGAACACAAATAATCCTTAGCGGCACCTCATTTTGTCATTGTTGAGTGGCAGTCCTTATTGGGAAAGCAATGTTTCTCTTGCTCACCTGTTTTGTTATTTCCATAACCTTGTCCCTCTGCTCTTGGAGGTTTGTGTATATGACCAGTCCTCCCAATTCACCTGACCCCCAGTTTACAGACAACATGGTCATCATCAATGATACTTACACATTAAAAGTGAGGGGAAAATTTCCTCCAAGCCAGTCTGTGAAGATCAGTACTGTCCATGGTGTGACCTACCAAGACAGATAACTAGTGCCTAAGCCAGGAATCAGAAACACCAACATGACCATGGCTTTAGCAGGAGTTAAACTCTGCTGCCTTGTGAAATGAAATGTCTAACTGAAGACTTTTGAAAACGGTTTGATGGCTTTCAAGGTGCCTTATCAACCTACAAACTGTTTTCATAGAGATACCCTGCTGAAGGTATCCACACCCACCAACCACAGCACTAATGTATATCTACTCATCTGTGGGTTGGTTAAGGAAACAAACAGATTTCCAAGGTTGGGTCTAGAAAACAGTGTTTAGTCAATTTATACTGTAGTTGAGCATAAGCTAGTAAGCAGATGTGGAGTGAACGAGTGATTGTGTTCCAGTTCCCTAAATCCATTCAGAGGCTGCCAGGCTCCGAATAAAAGTCAAACATGTGCACAGGGAAACTGGGGATGTTTGGAGCATTTGAAATTGCAGCAGTGAGAAAGCTGCCCGGGCGTCCCTTCAGGCATGGCACAGTGGAGCAGAGACAGGAAATCTGCCAGACGGCCTCTGTAGGAGGCGGTGGAGACCGCGAGTGCGGCAAGAACAAGGAACCGCTTAATGATTAATCACTGTCAACCTTTGTTCCCCTTAAAGACTTGATTGTTGGACAGGGCTTGTAATGAGGAACTGTTTTGGTGTCTGTTGCTATGAGATTGCATGGGTTCCCTGACCCTCGGTGATGGGAGCTGCGGTTCTCTTTGCCCAGGCACGCCCGCTCGCGGTGGATCCCGAAGAGGTTCACTCCAGCCCCCACCCTAAACAACAGCTAACCAGTGTTGGGCTTGCCTGGATTCTGGCATATGAATTAGAAAGTAGATAATAAAGGGGTAGCATTAATTTATGACAGCGATGGATAAGGACACTAACCTGAATGGAAACACACAGCACACAAATACCTTTTCTAGATGTGGGGAACACCTGGAAATAATCCCGTAAACCTGCGCCACTATTTCTCTTCTACAAATAAATAGTTGAATTGTGTTTTTCAAGCCAAATTCTTCATTGCCAGGTTCAATGGGCGGCTGGAGTCTGTCTCTGCATTTTCTTAAAGATTAAGGAAAAAAAACTATTTACTCTGTTGCTGGTTAGTTGACTTACAGACTTTTACATCAGCATTTTTAAGTATTTGTTTTTACTGCCACAAAACATTTTTTTAAGTTTTTATTTTATGTGTATGCGTGCGTTGCCTGCGTGTAGGTAAGTGCACCCGTGTCGTGCAATGCCTGCAGAGGACAGAAGAGGGTGTCAGAACCCCTGGAAATGGAGTTATGGACAGTTGTTAGCTGCCATGTGGGTGCTGGGATTCGAACCCGGGTCTTCTACAAGAACAGTCAGTGTTCTTAACCACTGAGCCATCTCTTCAGCCCTACAAAATATTTTAAGGGAGAAAACACAGAATTTCTAATTTTTAAAATTATTCTTCTGGGTTAAAGTGACATTATAAAACTATGAAATTTTTATAAGCAATATTGTATCATTATTCTAAGATATAAATTATGTGAAGGTATTAATATATTAATATAGATGACCTAGAACTAATATTTTCAGATTATATCTAGTATTCCCAAACCAAAATCAATCTCTCTCTCCCTTGCTCTCTAAATACAGTCATTGTTTTGATATGTCTATATGATGCAGTGACTTATATTGTGTTTTACCTTTCTTTATTTTTAATTCTATGTGTATAAATGTTTTTCTGCATGTATGTAAGTACACCACATGTGTGCAATGCCTACAGAGGCCAGAAGAGGGTGTCAGATCCCCTGGAACTGAAGTTACAGGCAGTTGTCAGCCATCATGTGGATGCTGGGAACCAAACTCAGGTCTTCCGCAAGAGCAGTCAGTGCTCTCAACCACTGAGCCATCTCTCCGGCACCTTGTATTGTATTTCACATTTAGATATAACTATTAGATTCAAAGGATCATGTGTCCTCTCTTTTTATTTCCTCC